AATTAAGGCAGTTCTGAAGGCGAAAGGGGGTCAAACACCGTATTAGTATGGTGTTCCTAATAATCCTTTAGGTGAGTGTATATATGTATGTTGATTCCATTTGTGCAGTAGGCCACCCTACGGCACTACAGAATACTGTCCGTGTCTTTCTAACAGGTTTTTTAGGGTAGTCATTGATGGGACCAGTGACGAGAAGCACTATCGGTACTTCCTGCCAATTTCTGAGAAATGTGCAAATATTCCCAAGTAATCCGGGTGATGCAAAGAAAAAATGTGTTTATATAACTGTAGTTAAATCGAAGGATATGAGATTTATTTATAAGACCATCAAATATATAGGAAAGGGAGTTCAGCAATCCTGTAACCGACACAAAAAAATATTTTCATCCTTTTTTCTTTTGGCACTACTGAGGTTTTCTACTTCAGTCACTGTATTTCTTTGTCTTAAGTTGGGAGCTGGTCACACACTGACATGAGTAGCCCTGAATAACCTTGTTCGTAACAGTTTTAAAACGTATAATTGAATCATTGTATTTTCTGGAATAGCTACATTCACATCCCTAACTATATAGTTATAGGCCTACTAGAGTTTATTGAAGTGGAAAATTGCGTATAAACGTATAATAAGCAACATTTTAGTATACCGCGCAGCTCAAGACGCAAAAAAATCGTGTAATTATGTTTATATATAAGAAGACGAAGATAAAATGGATCACGCCAAAATTTGTCAAGGGAGTCCGAGTAACACAAGCCACTCCAACGGTTTTACTACTCAGCATACGGAATGGCAACAGCAGTATTTCTCCACTAGAGGGTACTGAACACCAATAAAATACCTATTACGTTTACGATCACGTTTTTGTGCGGTGTAATTGGCGTGTAATTTACGCCCGAAAAAAAATACGGTGACTGTCTCTACCTGATGACATTACGCCCGTAATTAATGTAAATTTCAAAATAATATTCGCTGATATTGACAATATTCACCAGCAGTAAGGAAGCACATTTGTATACCCAAGTTTATATACAGGCTACATGTATTATATTAATGCATCCGCAAACTAAACCATGCAGCATCCAATATTTTTTTTTCTACATATTAAAACGGGTGATAATTTAATTTTTAACCAAGGTAAATCTGATTTGTTGGATAATAAAGCGCACATGGCATGTTAGTCCTTGAGCGGATTGTGTAAATACCGCCCGTCAGACGTGCATCACAGACTTCCCCGGTGCGTCAGGAGGCTGCGCTTTTCCCCGAAGCGCAGCGGGGGGACTGGAGGCTGTGCAGAGATCTGGCATCACACAAGGATGATAACATTTACTGTGCCGAAAGTCTGGAACCCTCTTTAACAAATGCGTGTAAGTGCTTCCCCACTGCATGTCGCTGCATGTCAGGTGGTTTTAAAAAAATGTTTTCTTTACTAGTTTCAAGGCATCGTTTTGGAAGGAATGGATATCGGGAACCGTCGATTATCGGAACTTATAAGTCGTACAGGAAAAAGTTAAAATTGTCTTTTTTATGTGATATAATATTATGTTACGTATGTGGAAAAACTTAAAATCATCTTTGCATGTGACGTATAATAGGCTGTTGTGTATGTTATGTATGTCAGCAGCTTGTGTGCCCAGGAACAGCTCTTAGAGGCTCAGGTGTGTTGTACGTTTTTAAGATTTTGCCCAAATATTGATCAAATTTATTAACGCTGTTATTTTTCTGTTTCCGTATATTACCGTAATAACGTAATACCGTACATACTGGGCATTATGGATTTAAGTTTAGCTGTACAATGTCAGTAGTTTAATGCGCAGTTCCAACTCGGTTGCCGTTTCGGTTAAATATTACAAATTATTGCCAATTTCAAAGGCGCCTGAATATTAAGTGCACTATAAACTAAAACCGATTACTTTGCGTATGCCTGCAGAAATCTCTGCAGCATTTTCTCGTTTTTGTACAATGTATCAATATATGCAGCAAGAAACAAGAACATTAATGAAATGATTTCGGTCGTGTGCTTTTTGTCGGGGGTAGGGGAATAGGGGCTGTGCTTCGTGTTGTGGTTAGCGTTTCTTTCGCAAGATTTTTTTTCCAGTGTATTTTTGCTTTTGAATTAACTTTATGTTCATCGTAGTTCATAGAGCCTTAGGGGAAAAAACCTTTCCCCCAGAAATAATATTTGGGATTGGGGCATCTTCTGACTTTGGGAGTCCCTCTTCCTGGTGCCCATAGCATCACAAAGAGTAAATTCTGGATTACTGACTGTTATTGAAAGAACAGAACCAGTCCTGAGGTGGGAAAGATGTTGTTTTGTACGGCAGAGCTATGATTTTTTTTGGGGGGGGTGGACTGCCTCATTTGAGATTACAGACTATTCCCCTAGACACTTAAAGACAGAAAGGACTCAAAGTTGCCTCAGTCTCTCACTGACTCTGGCCGTAACAGATGACTGCACAGTAAATGAAACGGCTGCCCTCCTTCCTGTCCTCCTGAGATCTTCCTCAGAGGCTGTGGTCTGTGATGCACTCACTCTTTTAGACTTGGGAGGAAACAGCCCTGCTCGTTCCCTGTCACCATCCAAATAAGCTGGAACCTCTGTCCTGTCATGAGCTGTAGCTGTTTTGTGTTATCTAGGTATTGTTGTTGTTGTTGTTGTTGTGATATGGGCTAATGTGGATGCCGACCCTTCTAGTTGTCAGTCGTTCTACTACTGGCTTTAGACACTACATACTGTAGGACCGAGAGTGGCGAATGAGCGAATCTCCAAGCTGTAAGCAATGGCGGTGTTCAGTATAAAAAAAACAGTTTCGGTTAAAGCTTTATTTAAAATTTTACAAACGTTACAGTTGGAACACAACCAAAGATTTAGTGGTTCGTGGTCCTTTCTGATTAAGAACGTTATTAATTCTGTTAGTTAATAATACATAAGAATCTAATGGAACCATCCCCCCTCCCCCCAGCTGAAGAACTAGAGACCGTGGGACCTCCAGGGACTGGCGAAATGTCTGTCAGCGACCATGAAAACCGCAAATCCCGCAGCAGCATGGGCTCCGTCAACATCTCACTCTTCCACAAGCCATCCCATGCTGATGACATGCTCGCACACCTCAATGCGTTCCGCAAGGAGAGCACATTCACGGACATGACCCTACGGGCGGGGGGGCGCTTCTTCCCTTGCCACCGTGCCGTGCTGGCCGCCTGCAGCTGCTACTTTGAGGCCATGTTTGGTGCGGGCCTCCGGGAGAGCCTGGACGGCGAAGTGGACTTCCGCGACAGTGTCCATCCTGAGGTGCTGGAAGTGCTGCTGGACTTTGCCTACTCGTCAAGGGTCATCATTGACGAGGAGAACGCCGAGTCCCTGCTGGAGGTCGCAGACATGCTACAGTTCCACGACGTCCGAGATGCCGCCGCCGAGTTCCTTGAGAAGAACCTGCATGTGTCCAACTGCCTGGGCATGATGTTGCTTTCAGATGCCCACCAGTGCAGGCGGCTATACGAGCTCTCCTGGAAGATGTGCCTGCTGCACTTCGAAGCTGTGCGAGACACTGAGGACTTCTACAGCCTCTCCAAAGATAAGCTCCTTGACCTGATCCTCAGTGACGAGCTGGAGATCGAGGACGAGCGGGTCGTGGTGGGTGCCGTCTTGCGATGGGTGCGCCACGACCTGGACAACCGCAGGGGAGACTTTCCTGAGCTGCTGGGTGGCATCCGTCTGGCACTGCTGCCCTCCGAGTGCCTCATGGAGGCGGTGGCATGTGAGGAACTGGTCATGGCGGACAAGCGGAGCCGGCAGATTGTCGAGGAAGCCATGAGGTGCAAGAGGAGGATCCTACAGAACGACGGCGTGGTCATGAGCCCGTACGCCCGTCCCCGCAAGGCCGGCCACGCGCTACTAATCCTGGGTGGCCAGACCTTCATGTGCGACAAGATCTACCAGGTGGACCACAAGGCCAAGCAAATCATCCCCAAGTCAGACTTTCCGAGTCCCCGGAAGGAGTTTAGCGCCAGCGCCATTGGCTGCAAAGTCTACGTGACGGGGGGGAGGGGGTCTGAGAATGGAGTCTCCAAGGACGTCTGGATCTACGACACAGTACACGAAGAGTGGTCCAAAGGAGCCCCCATGTTGATTGCCCGCTTTGGGCATGGCTCGGCAGAGCTGGAGAACTCACTGTACGTGGTGGGGGGGCACACGGCTACAGTGGGCGTATTTCCCGCATCGCCGTCGGTGTCACTGACGCAGGTGGAGCGATACGACCCCATGTCCAACAAGTGGGTGATGACGGCCCCGCTGATGGATGGCGTCTGTAACGCCGCCGTGGTCAGCGCCAAGCTCAAGCTCTTTGTCTTCGGCGGTTCGGCCCTCCACAGGGATGGCGCCCCCAAGGTGCAGTGCTACCACCCCACCGAGAACCGCTGGGCGGTGGCAGCCGAGTGCCCACAGCCATGGCGATACACGGCAGCCGCCGTCCTGGGCAGCCAGATTTTCATCATGGGCGGGGACACCGAGTTCACGGCCGCATGCGCCTACCGTTTTGACTGTGACAGCAGGCAGTGGACGCGCGTCGGAGACATGACCTCCAAGCGGATGAGCTGCCATGCCGTGGCGTCCGGCAACAAGCTGTATGTGGTGGGCGGCTACTTCGGGACTCAGCGCTGCAAGACGCTGGACTGCTACGACCCCACGTCGGACAGCTGGAACAGCATCAGCACGGTACCGTACTCGCTGATCCCCACCGCGTTCGTCAGCACCTGGAAGCATTTGCCGTCCTAACATGGAGAGGACCATCTTAACCATCTTATTCGTACACATTGGTGGCTTTTCCTGTGCATGTTGAATGCCAGTGAGGCGATTCCCTGGTGTGACAACATACAGATACATTAAATGACCAAAGGTGGATAGCTCCGGTCCAGAAATTAAAAATTTAAGATTTTGTTTCAACCAACCAGTTGAGTACTTTGTGACTGTGAGACTGTGACTTTTTTAAATTAATTGGTTGGTTGAAACAAAATGTTGGCCTGGATTTTTACTTTCTGGATCTGAACTATTCCACCTCTGTAAATGGCCCACATGTTATGCTGCTTTACAGACTGCATATCAGGATTACCAAAATGCCCATTAAAATGACGTACAGTGTATTGTGCAGGGTGTCCCATGTTTGTGCCTCCAGTGGATAAACATTTATGGAAAATGAATGTATGTATGTATGGATGGGTGGAAGGTAACCTTAAATATCGAGTTAGAAAACAGTGTGAGGAAGAGGACAAATGTTTACTTGAAATCGGTCGACCTTTTGCTAGTTATTGCGGAAGACTGGCAGTGAACCTTGCAGAGGCGGATTCTGGAGTCTCTGACAAGGATTTATATAATCCAGAGAAAGATCTCCATCCGCTACGTGGGATTACCTGTTTACCTCAAAGAGAGTCACATTCCAGCTGGGAAAGTCCTCTGCAGATCTGTTTCAGCCAGAGCCGGAAACAGATCTGACGTGGGCTCTTTAATACAGACCAGAGGGACCTCTCATCTCTGCTGACAGAGTGACCCCGGATCAATATCTGTCTGTCAAGTTCACAGCCACAAAGGGAGGAATCGACCCCCCAGAAGCACAATTCCTCAACTCTATTGTAATGCTTTGGCATAGAAACGGAGATTTACCCATTAAAGATACACAATGGGACGTCCTTCCGGAAGAAGGTGCTCCGCTTATCGCTTATGAGGGACCTGACCTCTACTAAGCGAATGTGCACCCTGGGTTAAAGGCTCACAGGCAACAAGTTCTTCATTTACATAAACAAAAGCATTGCTCTCAACAAAGGCCTTCTGTACTATTGATTTATGCGCGTTCATTTCAGAAGAAACAGTTTCTTTTGAGAAATCGGCCTAATTCGTTCTGCACAGATGGAATCTATAAAGGGAGAGAATGCAGAACCCAATTTAAACCTCCAGTGACTTTCCATTTATTAACTGTGTAGCTCGAAAGTATGGATTGACGTTGCTGCAAAATAAATAATTAAAATAAAACATAAGTGTGCTGTCCAATATCTTATGCAGACAGAATAAGCGCTCGCAGGTGAATTGATCCAATAGCTAGGTTCCTCATTTCTGTTAGGCCTCTCCTACGGGTTAAAAATAGATCTGTTGGCTTTGCAAAGCATATTACGCCATCGCTTATGATTTATGCATTTATTTATTTTAACATTTCAAAGCTTCCACCATATTTTCAGACTGCTGCTCATGGGTTTGGTGAGTTAATGAAAGAAAATCCCCCTGAAATAATGAAATCCACCCCCCCCACATACCAAAACGAAGCTGTTAATGAAATGTGTAGGTTTGTTGAGGACTTACGCATGAGTGTTACGCACAGGAAAGAAAAAACTGGCTAAAAACACTGGCAGTTAAAACCAGAAAAATCCTCCGGAGGCTGGTGAAGAAAAAACAACCTCTAACGCCAGGAGCTTATTATCAGTTTCAAGCAATTGCATGATGTCAACAGGCTCACAACATGCCCTGAAACCTCACCACCCCTCACGGCTATTGGTGGCGTGCTCCGTTAGACCCTGAAAGAGTTCACAAGTAAAACGTGTCTCTGAACATCAGCATGCACGGAAACACTGACAGCTGCCTATCTGTCCGATGAAGCTACGTAATCAGACATAATGTGTCAGTTTTAATGCTTCAGAATCAGAAGGTTAAAAAACGGCTGGTTTACACGCTGTTTTTCAGACCATTATTGGAGAGTAAAAAGTGAAACCCACCCTTCAGCAGAGGATCCCAGTGCTGCTGGATATTTAGTGTATGTGTTCCTGAGTTTCTTAGATTGCCCACGGTAACAGTTTTGTTGGAAAATTAGTCACCTTTCAGTTACATAACCGATTTTGGGTACCGTTTAAGCTTGCACTGTTTTCTGTGCATCATTCTGCATGCAGGAGTAGGAGTTACTGTTTTACCATGAACCCTGACTGCACCCTGCTAACAATGTGCTTTGACTACCTGGGTGTAATGAAGGTGTCTGACAGTGGTCAGTATTTCTTGTTTTCAGAGGAAAAGCATACGTTTCCAGACTTATCCAGAGAGAACGGCCAAAAGCCCCTGTGGGAACTGTCATCCCATCCAGATAGTTCTCTGATCCACGCTGAGGAACGCTGTCCAATGAGTGCTTTATTGTTTGGGGGAAAGCGGCTGTCAGTAGATCTCACCCTGTAAAATCCTTGCGAAATCAAACACACCACACATTTCCTCATGATGTACGAGCTGAGTATACGACTGTTTAATGGTGAATCGCTGAACCTGCAGCCCCTGATCTTCGGGTCAACCATGGGACAGCCAGCACCGTCATCACAAACAAAATCTGAACAAATGGCACACTTAGAAGCTTGTGGCTACAAACCCACTTTCCAGCAATAAATTTTTAAAGAAAATGACTTTTCCCAGAATCCTCTGCTCTCATGTGAGAGATCCTTGTGTTGTCACTCACTGCATAATAAGTCCAATTCAATGTATTTTTAACTTCCCAGCAGAGCTGCCCCAAAGCATCAATTATTCACAACATCATCAACTAACAGACACGCATCTACTGCTGTTTTCCACGGATAAGGTACCGTAGAGCGTCAGATTACAGTTTTGGGCATTAAGAGTAAAATGAGTAAGTCTAAGAGAAACGCTGATAGGAGGTTATATAAGCACCTCAGAAGGAGACTGAAGAGCTAAGCAGAAAGCATTTAAAAGGCATCTAAGGTAAATGGGATGCTGGTCTATCTGTATGATCTATCTTTTAAGATTTGTAAAAGGGTTACAGGTACAAATGAATGAATCCATTCATGGTGCAGGTCTGAAAATGTTTTCAGAGCATTAAGCAGGCAGGGAATGGCCTTTGGGAAGTTTGGGAATTTTATTTCCCACCTCGGCATTGTATAACCTATATACCAGTATATATAATCTATGTAGCACTCAGTGTTATCCACTTTGCAAACGTCCTGATTTACGCTGATGAAATGCTGGACGTGCTGTGTGTAGGTTGTCTTTCTGGCTTGATGGACTTTGTGGAATCAGCTTATGCTCCTTCGTAACTCCTGAGTGACTCGTTTATGAATTTTGCAGCGTTTTAAGTCTAGAGGCAGTTTTTCTCCTGCATTGCATCCTGCATGTGTGGGCAAAATCACCCAGTGTTTGGTTAAGATGGTTTTGCCCACAGACCACCCGGCCTTGCCTTATGGGTGCTCTGTGGGTGCAGGTTGAGGGGGTATGTTCAGTGCCAGGGCTGGCAGGGGGCATCCTGCCAAGGTTCATGAGGGATTTTAGTAGGACTCTGGCAGCCTGTGCTCTGTGCAGACAGGTGGACCTTGTGGTGAACATCCCACACCAGCTGGCTGCACTGCAGCACCATCCAAAGAGTTTCAGACTGCATACAGGCATTTTAGACCATGTTGAGAGCTTCAGACTGCATCAAGAGCTTCAGACTGCATCAAGAGCTTCAAACAATGCACAGACGTTTCAGATCTTGTCAAGAGCTTCAAACCACTTGCAGGTGTTTCAGACCGCATCGAGAGCTTCAGACCGCATGCAGGCGTTTCAGACCACATCGAGAGTTTCAGACTAGATCAATAGCTTCAGACCACATGCTGGTGTTTCAGACCACGTAGAGAGCTTCAGACTGCATGCAGGCGTTTCATACTGTGTCAAGAACTTCAGTCTACATGCAGGTGTTTCAGACTATCAAAAGCTTCAGACCGTGCACAGATGTTTCAGACTGTGTCGAGAGCTTCAGACTACGTGCGGGTGTTTCAGACCACATCAAGAACTTCAGACCACGTGCAGGTGTTTCAGACCACATCGAGAGCTTCAGACCTCATGCAGGCATTTCAGACCGCTTTGAGAGCTTCAGAGTGTGTGCAGGCATTTCAGACTGCGTTGGGAGCTTCAGACTGCGAGCAGACATTTCAGATCACGACGGGAGCTTCAGACCGCGTGGAGGAGTTTCAGACCACATAGAGAGCACATGGTTTTCTCTGCATCGATTTAGAAAGGGAGTGCATTTTTCAGCAGAACCAGCACTGTATGAAAATAAGAGCTCCTTTCAGAGGGAGGAGAGGATAATCAGGACGTATAAAATCAATGGGCACTGTGAGATGCACTGAAACGCACGCTAATGTAGCAGAAAGCCACGTGAAAGTGCTTATATTTACAGATGTTACATTATCATAAATATTGTGGTAAATAATGCAGCAATGTATGTCTAATTGCTTTCATTAACAATTATTCTTAATTGCTCTTGTGCGTGCAATGTCTTATCATGTGTATTTACAATTACTCTCCCAGGGGTGTTGTTTTTGGAGGGGTGTCTGTATTCAGAGGCCGTTAAATCAAACACATGTATGGGTGTGGCCCTGTAGAGGAGCTTCCTGGCCGGCCACAGTAAAACAACACACAGGCTTTCTCTCTGCACGTCTCCACAATTTGTGAAGCGAAACGTCTCAGGGGGACGGCACTGCTGAAAGTTACATTTCACTGCACATCTCTTTGATGCTCCCAGCCAGAACTGTTTTCCATTTTCTTTTTGCACTTTTGCTTGTGGTAATTAGCATTTCATACCTCGCCCGTCCCCATCATCCGTTGCCCTTGGCTGAGTTTGAGCTGCTCTCCCTGCTTCCTCTGCAATGCAAATCTTTAGCTTCACGCTTCACTGATCCTGCTCACTGGATTCCTGTATCGCCTCTGCGCCGATCTGCCTCCGCCAAACCAGCTAATCAGATTGCATGGCACCGCCACCCTCAGAGGCTACGCTCCTAGCCTTCTGGAGGATGAACAAGGAGGTGCAGGGCTCACAGATTCCCTCCAACAAGCTGGATATCCAGCTTGTTCTGCTGTAACTAAACTGGCAGTAAATTGAACTTCAGTGAAAAATTACACAGAACGCCTCCTCATTTCCTGGAATAATGTGAATCAAGTTTTTTTTTTTCCTAAGAAGATTTCCTTTAGGAAACTCCCATTCTTATGCCACGGCTTTGCTTTAAACCAAGACTCTGTAACAACTGACAACGGCTTGGCCCGATCTGTCACAAACTCAAAGCAAGTTTCAGCTCGTTTTGCTTGTCGGAGTGTGGAATGGGAATGAAAGCGATTGAGGACGGCCGTTTCCCCTCTGACAGTAACCCACAAGGTTCAACACCATGGACATTTTTAATGTTACGATATACAGCCTTGAAATGTACAGACTCATTATATTCTGTACGTTTATCTTCACAGTAACTGCCAGCTGTTATGACCAGCCTGCCCTCCTTTATGGACCGTATCACCACTGGAATAATCCAGCAATGTCAGCTTTATGATTTATATGACAGAGGCGCAGGTGGGCCAATCACAGCTCCACACACACGTCATTACAAACATGTCCATTCAACTCTGAAATTAGATTCTCAAATGCTAATAAATCTAACTTAGAACTAGGTTAGCAAAAATGCTCTGCATTAGCCTTTTGATCACAACAACACAATGCTATGATATGGATCATGGTTCAGTGGGCTAAGTCTCTGTACTGTACCTGTGATTGGAAGGTTGCTGGTTCAAGCCTGGATTTGACAGAATAGTCGTGTGTCTGCAGACCCTTAAACCCCCAGCTCCATGATAGCCTTCCCTGCCAAGCTTGCTATTGCATACATGTGTGTCATCACTGTGATTTCCTTAATTAGTACACTTTTTTTCATTGAAAAGACGAGGGTCGCAGGGTACTGGAATGGGCTATAAGGGGGAGTACCCATAGGCGCAGGGGGACTGAGGCCAGTCACATACGTGTTTCCAAAACACCGTAGAATCTCCACAGTGAGCAGAGGACCACAGAGAAGCACAGGGGAAGCTTAGAACCCTGAAAGGGAAGACCAGCTCCCAAAAGGTCGCCACTCACGTTCCCAGAATAGCCATAGCTGCTTAAATCTGCTGCTGTTTATTCAAATTTATGCAGCTGGACGGCATAGTTAAGCAGTTTATGAAAAATACT